GCTCCAAAGGGAATTTCATTATACGGTGAATTAATTATTTTCAAACTAATTACGTTATCGCTCGAAAAATTAGCAACAGCATAGTATTTCGCTTAATTAAGTGAAATTTCAATGAAGACTATAATTTTACCGACTATATGTTGGGAGTGGATAAGATTTGAATATGACAATCGTTTTTCAATTAAATAACGTAGGTGCTTGTACTATGTACAGCATTAACGGAAATCAAAATTTGTATCCGTTAGGCTTCGAAATCATCAGTCTAAATCGTTTCCGTAGCTTTTGAGATATAACTATCAATAGGGTCTATATAACTCCGAGTATCAATCATATCTGCCCTGCTAACTGCATGTAGCACTTGAAAAAAAGTCGTTCGCAGATAAACACGGTAAATCCATTTTTAGATGTCGCAGGAACATTTGATAGATCGAATTGATTGATAGATTGATAGAAGAACAATTATTCAAAAAATTAAGAAAAAATATAGCTATCTAAAGACAAAGTTTTTTAATTCTATCGTCTACTGCTGACCAAAAAAATAGTCACTAGAACTAAAGAAGTGCACTCACTGCATTTTGTTCTAGCATATTTAGTTAGTAATCAGTTTCTCTTTTGAATGGCTAGTAAAAAATTTATTAATTGATATATTAGAAGAATTGATGAATTAAAGCTCTTGCTCTTCTTTGTTCTTTTTAGACGCTTTTGTATTGGGATATACCGAAACTAAGAAAACACATATTATTATTGTAAACAATCAGATTTGTTTATTTTCATCACTGAATATCGTGGCAGGAAATTATTATCACAATTTGTATTATCACATTAAATCATTACAAGTTTTGTAACTACCTATACCAAACCATTTAATACAAATAAAGAACATTATTATTACGGCTTTTACTAAATAAAGCTTTGCTACACTCAAGCGCAACAGAGTACAATACTAAGTTTTACTTTAGAAACCGTTATATTTAAAAATTTAAAATGTAGGCCGATGCTTAATATAAATGCAGTGATAGTTGCAAGTGGTGCATTTCTTTTTAGCAATAGAAGTAAGTACTTTCTAGTACGCATTAGCAAGTTTCGCGTTTCTTACTAGCTCTGTACTGTACATCAATACTACACTTATCATAAGTAAAATTAGAATTTGCATATTACTAACTCCTTATACCTCTCAAATTAGCTTTTTTTGTATTTTGCTTTCTGCTTTGATTGTATTTTGGAATCAATTGTGATCCTTGAAAAGGTTAGTATGTTTTCAAGATTATTAGAGTCTGGCTAATGAAAGAAGATAATTGAATTATTTAAAAAATTTCGGATGGCAACACAGAATGTCATTGAATTTCTTAGGTTAGTAGTTAGTATATTTTTCCGAATAGTTAACAGGTATAATAGCCTAAACTTTGTTTTATTTGATAGAATATTTCATTTCTTTCGCAAGATTTGATTATTCCGAATAAAGTGCTTTATAATAAATATAGTTTTACTTTGCCATGCAATGCTAGTCATTTTAAGTATCAATAGTAAAATACTAAATACGTATAGTATTTAATTTCATTGAAATACAGTTACTATAGATGTAAAAAATAATAAAATATAATCAAGTATCAAGTAAGTTTAATCCACAAAATATATCAAACTTTTAGGGAAACCATACTAAAAAAATTTGAATTTGCCGCGCTTTTTCGTCATCTTCTTTCATTAGCCAGACTCTAATTATATAATTCTACAATGCTGGGGTTTCCTGAAATATCTAATCGTTTATTTTTTTCGATTCTATATGTCCTATTAATGTAACGAAGTATAAATAACGCAAACAAAAATGAAAGAACGGGTCTTGCAAGCAATTGTGCCCATGAATATTGTAAATAAAGCTGGCGTATATCGCGAGATGCGTATGATTTTAATTTGGCACAGTGGCAGGAGTAGATCTAGACAAAAATGGTTGTCTGTTAAGTCGGTTTACGGACGTGATAACGTCACAACAAAATAACATTGATGAAATATAGAAATCCTATAGAAAGGAGTGAATCCTCGGAATCACCGGCCCCTCGAGTGGAATAGAGATAGATGCGGCGTAAGTGGACATTGAGCGTGACGGGACAATGAGTCTAGCTTTTTTGTGCGTGCAGCCGGCGTTTATCGATTTATTAGACGTCATGTCAAAAAATAAAAATCAATAATTAATTAATAGGTTCACTAAATATTTATAGCTCGTTACTTTGAAATTCCCTTACCTACTCAGGTCCTTATCCTTAAACCAACATGATAAAAACAAATGGCTTTATCACATAATTGCGTTAACTATTAAACTTAACACGTTTATTTCATATATTTATATAAAGGTCACATTAATCATATGATTAGTTGCACGGGACATAACTACATGTTACTATTAAGTTGTTATTTTAAAAATATTTACACTAATGTTCAACCAATTAGAACGAGAATATTTTCTAATTACAGTATAATCTCACTAATTCGGCACTTCGATAGATCGGCACGTCCAATAATCCGGCACCCTCCGCCCACGCCTCCCTCGCCCCTCTATATCTGTGCGCTTCGGTCGCTGCGTCGTCGACTAGCAGTCTAACCTCAAAACGTATCACGTGCACGTGCTAACGAATTTATTTTTTTTCAAGTGAGAATAGGTTATACTTAAAAATGTCGAATAAACGCAAACACAAGACACTAGATTTGTTTATTTTATTAATTACCTATGACTTTTTCACTATAATCCAGTAATCCGAACATTCCAATAATCCGGCACCCTCCGGTTTTTAATAGTGCCGGATTAGTGAGATTACACTGTACTTTAAAAATCGTTTAAATTTCGAAAAATAAAAAAAAAAGAAATCAATGTGTTTATTCATTTGACAACAATTCATTATAATTTGTAAGATTTGGGAACCCTTTTTAGTAAAAAATACCTGTGTCAGGGTTCCCAGCCCTTCCATATATATATCATTCGCAGACCTAACCAATATGCACACAAAATTTCGATACGAAAATCGGTCGAGTCATTTCAGAGGAGTAATTACAAACAACGTGACACGTAATTTATATATACTCGTATTAAGATTTAAAAGACTTCAATATATATAAGAGTTGGCTGATTTGAGTTCACTTTAACTTTGTAAAATGTATTTGAATTAATTTTAAAAGTAAGTTTAAGTTAAGTTTTGTCCGCTATGGACTCCTAAACTACCGAACCGATATCAATCAAATTTGCACACCGTATGCAGTTTGCTCTAACTTAAAAGATAGGATTACATCTCAATTTATACCCGCAATGTAATTTTATTGCAAATTATTTGTTTATTATTTGATAGTCACAATTCTAACAGATGGCGCTGTGTTGAAAGTACCAACGTTTCACTTAAGCTACAATTTAATGGCATAACCACCAAAAAAGCATGGTGGATTGATGTTCTCCTGCCGTTTCTCTTGAATAGTTTACTACTATGTCATATAACAAAAATCTTAGCCACAGCAACGCTTGGCCGAGTCTGCTAGTATATTATAAAACATGAGCTAATGTTCTGTCAATAAGTTCGTTAAATTGTTTTTTTATTGTTTTTTCCTGGATTGAACAGGTGGCCGTTGTACAATAAAAAATATAGTAAGACTTTTAAAGCACATAAACCGTTGAAACCAATTAAAACAAAATAATTTATTATTTACGTTGTTTTATTTAAATGATTGTTGTGGGTGCATTCATTTAACAATGGATTGATTAATAGCTTATTAACATTCACAAATTGGCGGCTGGCTTCCGCTAAAAATAAAAATAAAATTGTATACAGTTGTACTATTCTTTAAAGCTGTATGACCTGCTTGAATAAACACGTTGCTTGTTTATTTAGAGAGATATATAAAAAAATTAAACCTTTTATGGGTTTTAGGCCTCAGATTTCTGTATTTGTTTCATGATCATTTGTCAACCTAATAGACAAGTAGGTGATCACCCTCCTGTGCCTGACATATGCCATCGTCTTTTTGGGTCTAAGGCAAGCCGGTTTCCTCACGATGTTTTCCTTCACCGTTCGAGCGAATGTTGATCGAGCCTACGACCTCAGGGATGAGAGTCATTGAAGCCACTAAGCCAACACTTCTCTTCCCTGCTCAAAGCTAATCATTACATATTTAAAAAAATTTATAGGTTCCATAGTTACTAATGAATAATCTGAAATGGTTTTTTAAATCTTGTCAAATAGTACATTATCATTAAAGTGTATTTACATTTAACCGGAACTGAAAAATTATAGTTTAAAATGTATATGATCTCAAATGAGTCATAGTTGGCACCAAGCACAAAATGGCAGCATTCACCTGGTGGACAATGAGGTTATAAATTAGGTCTCCGGTCAACGATGAAGTTGTGCTTCTAAAGATATCATCTTTGTAAGTATTTATTAAGTCAATATTGTTTAGAACTATGTGAGAAAATCTACGTTGGTTTGTAAAATAAATTTCCTACTGTTGGCTCTTGGCTTTCTGTATTGTCTAAGTGTTTTGTTTTATAATATGTATGTGTGCTGTAAGATTACTTATAATTAAATAGATAAATAGATTTCACCGTGCTGACTTTTGTATGCTGCAACTATACTCAATAGGATGCCGACACTCAGGTGCCTAATCTGACGCAGGCTTCAAGACTGTTCTTATTACAGTTCTTATTTGGAGTTGTTGAAGTATCTGTTCGCATAGATTCTTCAGGAACATTTCGCGCACGGGGTGTGTAACATTAGCCAATGCATCTTTTTTTCAGAGCTACGTTTGTTTTCTGCTCTAGTTCCTACCTGGATGCCTTGAACCCGGACAGCAGTGCGATGTTCAGTATTGTTATTCTCTTTGTCTGGAGGAACTCTATTTCTTACACGAGAACGAGAGTGGTGGGAGATTATAGGAAAGATTAATTTTATTGAAATAAACTTTAAAATAACATTTTATTGATATCAATTAAATGAAGATGCCAGCGCTTCCGTTTAACAAATTATTCAGCGAGAGAAACCTGCTAAATTATCTAAGTATACCGCTATTGATGTCAAATTTCTTTTTGACTTTGTCTTCTCTTTGGTTTCCGGAAGAAAATTCCATATTATTAAATCTTCATCGAACGTCGCTGTGGCTAAAAAATATATCAAAGTAAAAATTAAAAGATTCTCTTTAAGATAAAATTATACCTACATACATGCATTTCCCCTACCAATTACTGCCTATCATAATAGTTTTTAATATAGTTATTATAACATTAATTTGCTAAACTTGATTACTACGAACTCGAGCACTAAACACTGTCAAAGTCAAATTACTTTTAATTTATTCTCAGATAGATATAATCTAAGAAACTTTTGAGATGCTAGATTCACCTACGAATGAGCTACCCATCGAAGTATTTCCGAACTAATTCGAAGCAAGAACTGGTAGTAATTCCTACTGGTAGTATTTGATAAAAAGATAGATTTCTTAAAAGGTCGGCGACGCACTTCCCATACTTCTAGCATGCCATTGCGCCATGGGCCATTGAACCAGTACTTAATTACTCCTGGTTTATTTGTAATAAAAAAATTGTCGGCGTCGGGACGTGACGACCCCATCGCCCACTGGTGAAATAACCTGTGACAGAGGTTATTTCATCAGCGCAATCAGTCAACCCCTTCCTAGTGGGAGTGCCATGCTGTTGCCTTCGGGCTTCAGCCAAATGGGCAGGCACAACCGGGGCAGTACCACTGTCTCTTAGAAAACCGGCGTGAAGTGATGCAATAGGTTCGCCTTATTGTACTCGCGTTTCGTACGGTGAGGGAGACTCCCGGAGAAGTACTGTGCCATCAAAGTCAAAGTCAAATCATTTATTTCAATTAGACCATCTAAAATGGCACTTTTGAACGTCAAAAAAAATACAAAGAAGATTCTAGTTGCCCCGTCCAAAAGGTAGTTTCGTGTGGAGAAGAATGGGCAAGAAACTCCACACTTACTCTTTTTAAAATAGGTTTACAATATTTTGTTACATTTGTTAAATAATTATATGTGAAGACAATGTACTTTTAGAATAAACTACTATACTAAAAAAGTTAGTATACATGTTCCTCACATATTTACAAATATCGAAACCGTAGAATATTAACATTAAAGAGTAATAAAAATATTAAAAAAACACAACAAAACAGTGTGTGAGATACAATAAAATAATTACATTTGTAGCATTATAAATTAAAAAAAAAGAAATAACAAAAATATGTTAAAGCAAAAAATCAGCAACCAATTTGATTTTGTCCAGGCTCTATGATTGTCCTATGGAGCAGGACCAGCATGTTTCCAAGCATTCTTATCTTGAATATAATCATCTAATTTGTAATATGCTTGTTTACAAAGTGTACTTTTAACATCTACGCGCCCTTCACGGCCCCGCTTTATGGGTTGTCGCCGTATTTGGCACTATAAGTCAGCAGATTGGGACGGGATGCGGTCTTTCTTTGCGTCCTACCCTTGGGGCCTATGTGCTTTTCGCCGGAAGCTCCAGATTCCGTCGCCGCCTCTGTCGCCGAAGTGGTTCTGCAGGGCATGGAACTCTTTATTCCATTTTCTGCGGTGCCGATCGGTGGCAAGTCTCAGCCCTGGTTTAAACGTTCTTGCAAGGCGGCCTCGCGTCGAAAGCGAGAATGCTTTAAGGCATGGGCGGAAGCGGCGAAATCTCGTGATGCCAATACCAGCGAACTTAAAACAGCATATAACTCAGCCTCCAGGTTCTTCAAACGGGAAATCACTAAGGCAAAGTCAGAGCACATTGCCAGATTTGGCGAGAGATTGGCCCAGCTCCTTCAGGGACTCGAGCCTTCTGGTCTCTCGCCAAAGCTGTCCAAGGAATTTTTGTCAGCCCGCCATTCCGCCACTGCACAGGGAGGATGACTCTCTGGCCCACACTGCGAAGGAGAAGGCCGACCTTTTGGGCTGTCTCTTCGCGTCCAACTCGACTTTGGATGACCAAGGAAGATCACCACCGACCATATCGCGGTGTGATTCTTCGATGCCGGAAATCACATTCCGGCAACGTGCTGTCCGCAAAGCACTATCTTCCTTGGACATTCATAAGTCGAGCGGGCCGGATGGTATCCCCCCAATTGTGCTGCGTACTTGTGCTCCTGAGTTGGCTCCGGTCTTAACGCGCCTTTTCCGGTACCTGTACTCGCTCGGCACTGTCCCGAAGTGCTGGAAGACCGCTTCGATACATCCGATCCCTAAAAAAGGCGATCGCTCTGATCCGTCCAACTATCGCCCAATAGCTATAACCTCCTTGTTCTCCAAAATAATGGAAACCATTATTAATTGCCAGCTCTTGTGGTATCTAGAGGGCCACCAGTTGATTAGCGATTCTCAGTACGGCTTTCGTCGTGGTCGCTCAGCTGGTGACCTCCTTGTATACCTTACCCATAGGTGGGCAGAGGCAATTGAGTCCAAGGGGAGGCGCTGGCGGTAAGTTTGGACATAGCGAAAGCCTTCGATCGGGTGTGGCACAGAGCACTGCTCTCGAAGCTTCCAGCCTATGGGCTCCCCGAGAAATTATGCGATTGGATTTCCAGCTTTCTGGCCGATCGGAGCATCAAGGTCGTCATCGACAGAGCATGTTCCGACCTTAAACCTGTGAACGCTGGGGTCCCACAAGGCTGTGTTCTATCCCCGACCCTATTTGTTATATGTTGCAACTTAGCAACATTCATTGCTATGCGGATGACAGCACTGGGGGATACTTTTTACACTGGCCGGGCAGGTATTTCTCGGGCAGTTGTTGATGAGTACCGGAACAAACTTGTGTCTGAAGTCGAAACTCTGCTACGTGGAGTCTCAGACTGGGGCAGACAAAACCTAGTCCAATTTAACCCCAAGAAGACACAAGTTTGCGCGTTTTCCGCTAAAAAAACACCCTTTGTCGCTACTCCTCTTTTCGAAAACACTCTTCTTAAAGCCACAGCCAGCATTGGAATACTTGGCGTTGACATATCGAACGACGTTCAGTTTCGCGGTCACTTGGAGGGAAAGGCTAAATTAGCCTCCAAAAAGCTTGGTGTGCTCAGCAAGGCGAGGCGGTACTTCACTCCGGGCCACCGCATGCAACTGTATAAAGCGCAAATTCGGCCCCACATGGAGTACTGCTCTCACCTCTGGGCGGGGGCTCCCCAGTACCAGCTCCTTCCACTTGACCGTATACAACGCAGAGCGGTTCGAATCGTCGACGACCAATCTCCCTCTCCGAGCGGCTTGATCCTTTGGCGTTGCGTAGAGATGTGGGGTCACTCTGCATCTTCTATCGCATTTACCATGGAGAGTGTTCAGAGGAGTTGTTCGGATTAATACCTGCAGCTGAGTTTCATCATCGGACGTCGAGACAGAATACGAAATTCCACCCGTATCACCTCGACGTCCGCCGTTCCACAACTGAGCGTTTTTCAAGGCAGTTTTTGCCGCGCACCACCCCTATGTGGAATCAGCTGCCCACTGAAGTATTTCCGAACCAATTCGACTTAGGGTCCTTCAAAGAAACAAAAGAGCGTACCAATTCTTAAAAGGCCGGCAACGCACTCGCGAGCCCTCTGGCATTGAGAGTGTCCATGGGCGGCGGTATCACTTAACATCAGGTGAGCCTCCTGCCCGTTTGCCCCCCGTTCTATTTAAAAAAAAAAAAACATACCTAGCTTGGTTCCATCGGGATTGCTAACCATAGTCCGAACTCGATCGAGTCCAGTCCGCCCGTCATCAGACCATTGGTCCACCACAGTTGAAAGGTCGCTTAATACTACGAGGCGAGAACTGATTTTCGGGTATTGTAAGCCTCTTTCTGAAACATTATAATTCCCTTTAAAAAGTGATCGTCGCTGAATGAGGTGATGGATAATTTCTTATTCATAATTATTTTGGTGTTGTCGGATCCAGCGGCGCAGATGGTTCATTTAACAACAAATTAATTGGATGAATTTATGTTAAGTTAACTCGTAGTAGACTCGCCAAATTTTTGTTCATCTGTGTCCATGTCTTCAATGAATGACCATTTTTTTTAATGAAATCTCGCTGTTGGCCTTGGCAGATCAGCTCGGACTGTTTTAATGCGCTGTTTCCCGCTGGGTTAATCGCCTGAAGCCTGAAGAGCAGGACGGAGACCCGCTAGAGTGAGCGATAAAGGTGGAGATGCCGCGCGGGCGGCTTTTAATTAGTCATTAGCTGTCATCCGGATCCATTACGATATGTCTGAGTTTCCTGCGAGCCTTTTTACTCAGGTAGGCGTACCTGACTGTGTATGTGTAAGTATAAATATTTCAATTACTGAATTCTAACTGTGTAAAGCGCCATCTAGTGACACAACATATTATCTCTGACTGTCAGATTGTAGATTTGAACCCAAGCTATGCACCAGTGGACCAATGGGTCTTTCTATGTGCGTTGTTCACATTTGCTCGAACGGTGAAGGAAACCATCGTAAGGCCTTAGACCGAAAAAGTTGACGGCGTGTGTCAGGCTCAGGAGGCTGATCCCCTACATGCCTATTATATCAACAAATGCCACTGATTTCTTTTTATTTATATAATACTTGGGTTTGTAATTTTTATATAAGTTACTTAAATAAAACCAAGGTTTATATACCTGTATTATATAGACTCAACACTAATTCGCCAGACTTATTGCTGAAGAGCATCGCGTCTAAGCTGTATGTCCCCACTAGCGTTGTTTGTTGCATCTTCCCATTAGGAACTGAGCACACCGCTACTTGCGTGTGGTTCGCGTTGGTCACACCACCGAGGCATAGAAGCGCGCTACACCAAGGATGCCAAGACATCGCCTAAAGTATCAATTCGAAGATTTAAGTCATGCGGAAAGATTGAGGAGACTGGAGTACGAAAGCCAAATAACCACAATCGGCGAAACAGCGATTGGAATTTCTAGCAGTGCCACGATTCAAGGAAACAACATTCGCGCGCGTATTCCGTTGTCTCAATAATATTGCATATGTGATTGAATTTATAAAATATATTTTGACCTAACTGTTTAAGTGTCAAATCCAGACGGTATATAAATTCCCAGTAGGGTTCACATTTTGGGACAGTTTCATTTATAACATATGCCAACTGCACGTCGAAAACTTATCATCCAGGGTAATCATTTTGCGTAAAGGTACCGTTCAAGTTTAACGTAATTTCAGTAAATCTGTTACTGAAATTTATGCTCCCCTCCTATTGCCAGAAAAAGTAAGCAAAGCTCTCGTAAACGTATTAATTATTTGTAGGAATCCTCGAAAATGCATTATGTTGTCAAGCATAGACAATGTGTGGGTAATATGTGTAAAAAAGTAAAACCTCTCACCAAATGAGAAAATCAGAGATCCTCACCCCTATAGTGCTTACATGATACTTGAACGACCCCAAACTATCAGATTTACCGTTGGAATAGACTCTTCAAACACAACGACACGATGTAATTGCAAAAACGGCCAGCTGACTACATAGACCTCTGATGATTGTAAGGTAGCGATGGCCGCGAATCTTGCATCCGGGATATTCGAACGCAAAATATTGGTGGCATATAACTGGGTCTCTTGCAGAAGAATGCCACGATTTTAAGATCGTAAGTGTATGACGTTACTTCGCCCCGAGAACACCCACTGAAAGCATAAAATATTATGTATAATTATACAGTATTTATTGTCTTAAACTATGTAAGTAATAATAAAACATACACAAAACTTAAACTTTAATTTTACTTGCCAGTGTATGACTATATTACTGACGCCAGTGGGACAATATTGCCGACGTCAGTGCGAAAATAATGCCAACGCCAGTGCGAAAATTTAGCCAACGCCAGTGCTACAATATTGCCGACACAAGTGCTACAAAATTGCCGACGCCAGTGTGACAATACTAATACGAAGGCAGTGCCACAATATTGCTGACGCCAGTGCGACAATATTACTGACACTAGTGCGAAAATATTGCCAACGCCAGTGCGACAATATTGCCAACGCTAGTGTGACAATGGTGCTACTATATGAAATACTTATTCTTTAGCATTAAAGAACATAAAGTTAACAATACCTTACAGTATTAACTTATTATCTTATTTAAAATAGTACATAAACTAAAATAACAATGGTATAATAATAAAATCAACTTAACACAATAAGGCCATTTCCCGTGGGACTCCAATCGAGTGAGGTAATTGAACAACCATTTTTAATATAACACGTACATTTCTTATGTACTAGGTGCTTGCTTGTTTCTGTGTCATGTATCTGTATAGAGCATTCCTTCATACCAAACTGGAAAAATATGGATCATAAAACGCAACTATAAATTAATATATTTTACATGTTTGGTACGTTCTATTGTTTCGACGTTCGTAATTTGAATTACCCGAGACTTGATCAAAAATCATAATCAGATCAGAGCCCTTACTCGGTAAATTTCAACAGCCACTTCGCAAGCCATACCGATTCCGCAACTATACAAGTTCGATATAAAATAAATCACTAGCGCTACAACCTTTTTAGGTCCGGGTCTCAGACTTCTGAATCTGTTTCATGATCATTTGTATATAACCTAATAGGCAAGCAAATGATCAGCCGCCTGTGCCTGGCCACGTAAATTTTTGATGTTTGTCTTCACCGTTTGAGTGAATGTTAAAGAAAAGAAGATCATTAGTGCACAGCCGGGGTTCGAAGCTACGACCTTGGGTACGAGAGTTCACGTCAGTCAGTTTCACGTTCGTCTGAGAACTGCGTCAGTACTCTGTCACTTCCAATAGATACAGCACCAAATGATTTAGTATGCGATTTGGAAATCACCGTAGCGCTGATGTCAAACATTGGAATCGCGCGGAACTAAAACTCAACATCGAACTGGCATTTCCTATTACCATAGCAACAGAGGTTTTGTACATGTGTCAATTATATTTTTTTAATATAAAATTATTAATATCTCATAAAGATATAGTAGTGTATTAATGCTGCTTATTTTAACTACTTTTTCTCACCGCAAGCCTATATCCATTAGGGTCGAATTTGCATGTTTGAATGTTGTAAGTTGTGCCCCCGCGTCCTGATATTCTCTGCGTATCCCAACTCCACTTGTAGTAGGTGCTACGCAAGGCCGCAACTAGAATATCCTTATTACTCCAATCTAATAATTCTGAAACTATTAATATATATATATGTAATTCTATGAACGAGTTTCCACATTTCATTACTCGATATGTTCGAATAGACAATTCTATTAATATGAAAGTTTAAAACAAATTTGATATAAATTGTATCAATATCGTTTGATTTTGACATTAATATCGATAAAAAGTTATTCCTATTTCCGGCGATATAAGTGACTACAATAGCCAGACATAATTTGGTATGTGGTAATAAAAAAAACGAATTTTGACAAATGTCAGTTGTCAAAGCTTCATGATGTTGATGTCGTTTGTTTGCGGCGCATAGTTAAGTTCAACAAACGAAATAAACAAATTAAAAAAATACAAATACAACATCATTTTCTCGAGGGTTTTGAAAA